TCTCTACCTCCGAAGCGGTGCACTTCCTCATCTGTACGTCGCGGAGAATAATCTTGTAGTCGGAGACCTGGCGTATCATGTTGTGATTCCCGCCCAGAAGGTACGTGCCCGGCTCTGGACCCGCGATTAACTTGGACTGGATATGGCGGGATGACACTGGTGTTCCGGTATAGGATGCGGTTGGGTGAAGAATGTGCGTGTTCACGTACAATTTTGCAATGTCTTATCTTGCATATTTTCTATATAGAAATTAGAATAGCTAGAAAAAAATATTCCAACTATTAATTGAAATGAGTCTCAGGGTGAACAAAAAATGTACACATAAAAATCTGGTTTCAGGATTTAAAGTGAATGAAGTTTTTGCGTCAACAGAAAAACTTAAACCTTAAAACAAAGGGGGAAAATAATACGTTGTACGTCAAGCAATCAGTAAAACCCATATAGGCCTACATTTACACGTGTTCATGCAAAGAAAATACTGCCATTCCATACTCTATAGCAAAGAAAATGCTGCAGATAATCATAGCCAGGGCAAACCATAGTTGGCCAGGCGCTGTAATCCTCGAACAATAACCACTAATCCGTTGATAGCGACCAAGAGAGCCACTCCAGTCAACCAAGCTCACGCTTGAATAACCGAGCGTTCATACCGATCGGGAGCTACAGAGTGGGTCATTCCCACCCGCTTCTCGAGCGTCACGCTTGAATAAAAGAGTGCCCAGTATTCATACCGATCGGGGCTACCGAGTGGGCCACTTCATACCGATCGGGGGTCAAGCCCGCCCGCTTCTATTCTCAAACGGGTATCAGACTTTTCTGTTTAAAATGCGTATGAATTAACGTGAATAAGGGGGAAGTGCGGTGTAGTAGTCTAAAATTCAACAACATCACATCATTACCACACGCAAAACAATTCATGTTCGTCATATGGGGAATACTTTATTTCAATTAATACAGAATGAGGTATTTCGTACATTTGATCAATTCCGACAATATAGATATCGAACATCGTATTTCAAAAAATTCACAGAAAAAAAATCACACCATTGTTCATATACAGACCTTGCAAACTAGGCAGTTGTATCAAGTTCATTTGTCAAATGATTTCATGCAAAAACAAAACACTTGCATACTATGAAGCTAGAAAAGAATACAATTCCACGAAAAAAAAAAATGATCGCCAGTGTCTTCCACACCAACCCAACCTGAGTTTGGCGCTGTAATCCTCGAACAATAACCACTAATCCGTTGATAGCGACCAAGAGAGCCACTCCAGTCAACCAAGCTCACGCTTGAATAACCGAGCGTTCATACCGATCGGGAGCTACAGAGTGGGTCATTCCCACCCGCTTCTCGAGCGTCACGCTTGAATAAAAGAGTGCCCAGTATTCATACCGATCGGGGCTACCGAGTGGGCCACTTCATACCGATCGGGGGTCAAGCCCGCCAGCTTCTATTCTCAAACGGGTATCAGACTTTTCTGTTTAAAATGCGTATGCATTAACGTGAATAAGGGGCAAGTGTGGTGTTGTAGTCTAACATTCAACAACATCACATCATTACCACACGCAAAACAATTCATGTTCGTCATATGGGGAATACTTTATTTCAATTAATACAGAATGAGGTATTTCGTACATTTGATCAATTCCGAGAATATAGATATCGAACATCGTATTTCGAAAAATTCACAGAAATAAAATCACACCTTGATCATCTAGCTTTTAACCATTGTTCATATATAGAACTTTGCAAACTAGGCAGTTTTATCAAGTTTATTTGTCAAATGATTTCATGCAAACATAAAATACTTGCATTCTATGAAGATAGAAAAGAATAAAATTCCACACCAACCCAACCTGAGTTGGGCGCTGTAATCCTCGAACAATAACCACTAATCCGTTGATTACAGCTATTGTTGTGAATCAGAGGGCCACTCCAGCAGGCAACCGAGCGTCACGCTTGAGTAACCGGGCGGGTACAGTGTTCGAAGCGGGCGGCAGCTTACTGGGCGGGCCGAGCTCGCCCGGTACTCGAACGGTCCCATTCCGGATCTCATACCTTACATCAATTATGGTTTACCATTGATTCCGGTTTTGTAAAGTCATGGCGTCGCCAGGATTTTTTTCTAGAGCCGAGGGGGCAAATCTCACAAAATCCTTGCACTTTCTGCAGCATATTCCCAATATATCATTTTTTTTCGAGGATGGGCTGGGGAACATTTGCCAAACCCACCCCCATTGACACCCCTGCGGACGCCTATGTTGTTAAAAGTGCTTGAAATTAATAGCAATAAGACTTCGCGCATGTCGTCTCCTTTTTTTGTTACCTATTGTCCTCCTTTCCCCCTGTTTTTTTGCTTTTCCTGGAGCAGGGGGGGATGTACCATATAATCACAAGACCCGTCAAAGGAAAATCAAAAATCCTTTCACAAGGCAAGTCACAATAGTAAACAGGGGATAAACAAGTTTTCACCAATTATTCATTTGAATATCTTGTGTTTTAAAGGGAATATCCAACATTTGCTTTTGCTGTAATTTTCAGAAAAGGATGGATTTGGGGGTTAGTATTTAAAAGCCCATATTGTTACACCGACCTGTTTGGAAAAACCAAGAACATAATTATGCTGTTCTTGTAGTCTGGTTCGCTGACCCTACTTCAGACGAAAATAAGCAATTAGTAGACATCGGGGAATTGTCAGGTCCGGGAACCAGTCTAGCTGGCTTGCACCCGTTCACGGATGTGCAACTGATTGCAAACAAAATGTGGACTCACTAAACTTGGTAAATTGGGGGCAGTATTTGAAAAAAAGTCAGTTTTTTCCAACGATGGTCGGCTGACCATCGTTGGAAATTGATACAAATTCCACTTTTCTTGAAAATGACAGCACACCATGTGCCGTGGTTTCACAGCATGCTTGAGACTGTTATTCACTTACACTCCAGAAAGGTATTTCATAAAAATGTTGTAGTTTTGTTTTTTTGATGTTTGCAAATGTTGTATACTACCTTTAACTTGGGACAAGTGACTTGTGTTGGATTGCAGGGACTTGTGAGGACTAGAGACGGACTCTCGCTACAGCACAGTTATCAAGTCCACGATACGAGGTTTTATACAGGTTCCTTTATCGGCAAGTGTAACGGAGATGTATAGCCTAGACCAATCCCATAACCTTGATGTTGAACATAAGTAAAGATTGTATTACACTTTGGGGGTGCATTCACCGACCGTTCCCGTACCCGGGCGTCGAACTGCGTCCCGTCAGCCCCAGCACCGCCTGATGCCAGCAGACATGGGGTGCAGTCCGGGTCTTAAAGTCTGCCGGGGAGATCACGGAGCTTTATAAGCCGTAAATGAATTGGGCCCGTGGCCACTCCTCACACTCAATCCGTCTCGACAGGCCACCGTCGGTCAGAATTACGGGAAAATTCGCTTCTCGTTAGAACCAAATTTACTCAGATTTTTTGGTGCACTTTCGATTGAGACGCAACCAATATTACTGAGAAAGGTTACACATCAAATTTGTTTAATTTTATCTGTAATTCCTATTTCAAATACTCATTTCAAGTCGATTCATGAACTTTTGTATGGCGTTGATTATTATGTTTTCCGAGGTTTCAGACCATTTTGGTTTGAATCCCGAAGTACTTTTTTTTCTGCGGGCAATCGAGCGCCCTACTGAGGAAATGGCAGATCTAGAGGGTGGAGGGGGGGGGGGGGGGGTTGAGGGTTTGCACCCCCCGTTCAGCCAATGACAAATGATATGATACTAGTAAAATGGGAACAACAAAAATAATAAACGGAATGCTAAAGTTCCTCAATGTATTCTCAATTGCCTTAGAATGCAGGAGAAAACATCGTAGATTTCACAATTTTCCGGGGAATGTCCCCAGAACCGCCCCGTCTAGCAAGGCGTACCTCTACCAAGGCGTGCCTTATAGGTACTCCCCCTTTCACATCACCCCCCCCCGTTTCCTGAAAGCCAGATCCGCCCCTACGAGATCTTCGTTTAAACGTGATAGACATGAGTAGACACTTTGTATACTTTCATTGGCACTGTTAGGTTGCCATTAGTGAGGGCGCCCTGTGCAATAAGGCCATCAGAAGGCAGACAAACAAACTACTTCCAACACTATTAATTTACTATTTATCGTGCCAAGGCTTTGATTATTTAAAACCCTGCAGACATTGTATGTGGTTGATTAGGCATTACCGTCAGCTCATTGACCTAATGATGAATTGAGTGGATCTAAATATAGGCCTGACTCAACCTTTCCCCTCCTGAAGATTGCATGAAGTTCAGGTTAAATATAGGGTGAGTCTCTATTGAATATGGCTATAAAGTGTACCTTCTGGCAACCTTTTAATAATAAGACGTCTATTTCATTCAGTGGCTCACTTTGGGGAAGCAAGGTAATTTTTGTTTTGCTGCGTTTGAATACCTCTGTCTGGAATTGTATTGGAATTCTTTTGAGAGTAAACATTATAATCGACTGAGACTGAGTTTAAAGACCCTTATGTTCGATCTCCCTGAGGTCAGACAACTCGACCTAGACGCTGTTCCAGTCGTCAGAAGTATACCGCCCAGACGGTCCCAGAAAATTAAAAGCCTGGATCTAAAAAAAATTAAAAAAAATACGGTTGTCCTTCTTGGCCTGTGCAATGTTTCTGATTTTAATATGAAAGACATTCAGGCTCCTTTCTCTCCTAAATTGATTGATAAGAAATCAACATCAGTTGCGATTTGGTTTTCTTCTCTTTTAATTTTATTTATTGTCTTGGGTTACAAGAAACATGGAACAGTCGCGGAAGTGACTTTGACCAGACGTCGCAATATGGCGCTTCTGGGCGGATTAAGATACCATTTGGAGCTTAAGTCGATGCGATTTATATCTGTTAACCCGATGGCCTCCCCGTTCACCCCTCCGGCGGCTGTTTATTATTATCATTGCACCATGCAAATATATCATTGAAGTCTTGAAGGCCCTTCGGTCCAGGGGCGTCCGATATTTAGGGCCGCGGTGCGTTGGTAGCAGCACTCAGATTTTGTTCCTGTGCCGCTGAGGGTTGGTCCAACCTCCCTCTCCGTCCTTCAATGATACAGCTCTGTTTTCCAAAGTTGAAGAACTCTAGCTACGCCTGTCTCAGCTTGATATCGCTTGCTGGACTTCAACGCGCTGTTTGGTGAATTGCACACGCAGAGTAAGCATCGTCTACCGTGTGGAATCGCCTATAGTGGAATCCCAGCCGTCGTTGGGCGTTGGTAGTCGCCCTTGTCAAGGAGGAGCAGGCTGCTTTATCGACCAGGCTGCAGAAGTGAGCACAGAACGGGATGGTTAATTTCAAACTGGGAGGAAGACCGGGAGTGCATCTGGAGTCTAGACATCATTAGAGGTCTACCAGATATACTTTATAGACGCTTGAGAGCACCGTCAAGTATCTGTCTACTCCTCAGTGCAGTACATCTTGCATCACCATTTCTGAGGCAGTGTGCTCATGTGTGACCTGGTCAGCCTGAGCAAGAGGAGTTGTGCATGTGTGAGACAATCTCCAGGCAAGACCGACTGAGTGAAAGCAGGTGAAGAATTTGTACTGGGAGTCAATAAACTTGCGATACCCGGCATAGTGAATCTGGTGCACTATAGAAGAAGAGGTGAGGTTAGTGAGTAAAATACTTAGCAGATGATGTTTTACAGAGTTTTCAAGCAATGCAGAACATCTGTTGACTTTTATCTTATTTATGAACTTTACACCGACCTGCTTCAACTCCATGGCATTTCGTTACCCGATAAGTAGACCTACTCATACTTATCATAGCATAGTTCCGCAACGTACTTGACAAATCAAATTGCACATGATGGTCGATATATGTTTCAGTAATATTAATCAGCTTAATAAGAAAATGGTGGCATTGTGGAATCTGATTAATGGTGGAATTTGTGGACTTCAATTAATCTACTATTAATTGTAATATATGACTTCATTCCATGATCATAATCATTTTAATTGTGTTTTGAACTTCTTTTGTCGTTATCTTTTGTCTGCTGTTAATTCAATTCAATTCAATTTCGGTTTTATTCAAAATACCAAATAAAGAGTCCGAAGACTAAAAATATTCAGTTTACAAGAAGTAACATCAAAAATTAAGTAATACAAATTAAAATAAGACAACTGGAAATTACAATTAAAAATGACAATCAGTAGAGGCTGCATTCAAAAGGCTGGTCATAAAAGGAATTGGGGACTGTTTATAGCTAGCATTATATCTTTATGTGTTTGGCTTTCTTCAATTTTTTTGTGTGTTTTGTTTGATTTTGCTTGATTTTTGGGGAATTTTTACAGTGTACTGGTATTCCTTGGTAATCATTTTCAGACTTCTCCTTCCATAAAATCAGCAATATTTCCACAAATTATCTTTTGGATACCGTGCAGAGCATACAAAATAATACCATGTGTGCTCCTGTATTTTCTCAACAGAGGCTCAAGATGTAGGCCTAATTCTGTCAAGTTTATTCTACACAATGAGACTTCACGAATTCATTGACGCTTTCATAATCTTACAAGATTTCGCACCCTTCAAGAATTAAAACCATGCGTGTGGGAACTTGTAATATGATTGAGTTTTCACAATTCCCACACTACTTCAACACTTACTGACCTTGCTTGGGGCTCGGCCAATAGTTTCGAGGTAAACATCGAAGGTTCTCCAAAACTAATCAAAAATCTGCGGAGGTATTTTCTTTAATCTGATGAAAAGTGTGATCGTGCAAAGGTCGTTACAAAGTTTTGGATAATGATCAACCGAGATTGTGAAGGATATTAAATTATGAGACTTGTAGGTGTAGCGACACTGTGACTGTTACGGAACTCGCAAATGTTATTTTGAAAAGGTCAGTCACATCCCTTAGCCAGTATTATTCAATTTAAGTAAAATTTTCGTACAAAAATATTGGAAATCATGTGCTAATTCCGTCTTGAGTTTCGGTAACTAAAGTGTAAAACGACTCTTATTCCTGATCGTATTTTTAAAACTCCTTGAGAGTCAAACATTAATTTACAGTTTGCCAATACGAATCAATGCAGGGTGAGTAAAAAAAAAGCGAAACCCAAATGTTGGGACTATTGTTTTAGTGAAGTTCTGCATGTAGCACTTTGAAAATCTAGGATATGCAAGCCCAATTCATAAGCTTTCTTTTAGTACAAAGATCATTCAAATCACTTATGAACTTTTTAAGCTATGAAATTTTACATACAACCACCGTTTTAAAGTTCTGTCCACGGATCACGAAATCAATTTACACACATCCCTACGTGATTTTTTCATTTTGCTGAAAGAACACTAATACTTTCTTGTGATCCGTGGACAGAACTTTAAAACGGTGGTTGTGTTTAAAATTCCGTAACTTGAAAAATGCATGAGTGATTTGAATGATTCTTGTACTAAAAAGAAAGTCTATGAATTGGGCTTTTGTATCCTAGATTTTTAATGGGCTACATGCAGAACTGCATTAAAACAATGGTCCTGACATTTGGGTTTCAATTTTTTTTTTATACTTACCCTGTACAAACCAATGAGTTATGACAGTTGAGGAGACTTCAGGCATTTTGAGAACGCTCAGTGGAATCATGCGACTTCCAGCAACGATGTGTTTCAAATACTTTGAAAATACTTTGTGGAATATTTTTAGTTATTTCGAAAATGCCAAATATGGCATTTTGTTTATGTTTAAAACATTAAGATTTGTCGTTCTTGGATGTCGGGAAAGCCCGTCCTTTCGTTCCATCTCCGTTGGTTAAATTAATTAAAATTATTATTGCCGATGAACAAAAAAAATACTCTACCGATGTCTCATTTTAGGAGCTAAAATGTAGACAGTTTATTAAACGGCAAGAAAATTACGTGGCTATTGTGTACTGTATAGTGTTTTCAGAAAAAAAGTAAGTTTCATGGGGCCGTCGTCCTCCAGTTGACACTTATTTTGTTGAAATTGCACGGGATAGGTTAAGCTTTTATTTGAATTCTTTTCTTGTAGATACGACTACCTTTAATAAGGTATTTATAAGCCTGAAATTGTATCCAGCGATATTGTTGGCACAGAGACGAATTGTGTCAACTGCACCTGCGACATGCGTATTGGTTTCTTTTGCGTCTCTATTACGGCTTGGATTACGGTTCAATCGGTGTCAACTGTAACCAATTCCGCACATCAACGCTGACTTCAAAGCAAATTACAAGTTTAACGAGACAAAAATCAAGTTCAGATCTCCCTCTGGTGGTGACCTTAAAACACTGAGGTCAATTTTTGTCTCGAAATTTGATTACGATCGTTTCATTTCGTTAACAGTTTAAAGACAAAAACACTGCGTGATATAGTTTTGTATCCCCTGCTGCGAGGAGGCCACGAGACACGGTACAATTTCTTAAGAAAATCACGTTCACGGTGACGGGTGTAATGAGTAACGTGACAAAATGTGAATCTGCAGTATGATCTGCATGCCGTCAATTGCATAAGCCAAGTGCTGCCACATCTTGTTAACTAACTTTATGTGCTGAGCAAGAATCAGATGGCAACCATGCACAATATACAATTGGCTAATGAATGAAGTAAATATTTTCTAGCATTGTTGTAGTCGAGTACATTTCTATGAGTACGAGTACTTTGTCATGAGTAGGAGTATGAATAAGAGTATGAGTACCATGCCAAAAAATGTACTCATAGTAGTACTCGTACTCGTTCTTTCCACAAGTAGGAGCAAATTTGGGTCGCGTGCTTTCAACGGCTTTTTGCTATTAAACTAGGCATTAAACAAATGCGGAAGCCTCCAAAACAGTATAAAACTAAAAACTCGTTTACTGCATGTAGCTCTCAAGTTTGTTTGTTTGTTAATTCTTGCGGGAGAACATTTGCAAAAGTACGAGTACGAGTATACTTTGTCATGAGTACGAGTACGGATAATTGTGTTCTGGCGAGTACGAGCATGAATACACTTTCATGAGTACGAGTAAGGAAATGAGTACTTCAACACTGCTTTTTGGGCAAGAAAATTGCGTTCACAAGTGGAAAATAGTTTCATCGGCAAAACAAACAATTCTGACTTGTTGATCGTCTGAAGAGCCATTTCTGCATTCCGCAGATAAAAGTATAGGTTTTAAAACACGAAAAATGCAGTCACAAGCAGAATGTTCCAAAACAATTCCACGTTACACCGCAAATGCATCTGATTGGCCAAAAGTGATCTCATCAACGCCCCGCATGCGCAATGTCCTCTCAGTGGCGTCCATGGACCCACAGAAGTAACAGCACAGTTCCTTCGTTGTGTTTCTTTCAGAGTAGACATGGTTGTGAGGGACTTCTATTGGTTGGCCAATGCGCACGTGATCGCTGTCATCCTAGCAAGCTGTATCTTACACACGGCTTCACCTCTATCGGCGGGAATCAGACCATCAGCACGCACGGCTGCCGTAGTTCCCAGACTGGCTCTGGACAATAAGGTAATTATTGCTTGATAAAGATAAGAGTATAGATCGCACGTGTCTATGGGAAGCGACTTCAGCCGCTTCCATTAGAAGACGGGATGTGTAATGACTAGCCGTAGCCAAGTTATTCGGACACGGCCTTACATGGCTATCGTAAAAACCACGCCCCCTTAAAAGTGCGATACAGAAAAGCGCGCGATAAAAGCTTTGCTGGCTAAATGAAACTCTTTTCACCTCGCAAGACATTCAGCACCTGGTTTACATTGGAATGACCTTCGGGTATAGTTATTAGTTTTCTGGCAGACTCAAGGAACAACGCACGCACACAAATTCCCAAAGGTGCTAGCTTTTAGTTGACGGTTTCAGACGCAACGACAAGCAAGGTTAGCAGGGCCTAGGGGCTATATAGTCTCACGCTAGAAGACGGATCACTTCATTAGAATTAACTTGAAAAGACCGAAGTTACAATTACAAACGTCGATCATTCTCGATGTTTTGTTGGACATCATCGATTGTTGCAATAAAAAAGAATAGATGAATTGGGTGGCAACTCTCAACTCAATACAATATAAGGTCAAGACAATATAAAATATTGACTAGCAGGTCATATTTTGTGTTGTTCCTATAGGATTAATTATTATTTGTGGAAAATGGATAAGAATTGTATTTCATTGCTTATATAACACCTAGCAGCCGATGTACAACAACAGTGGGTGACCGGTCTATTGCTAAGGAAATTAGAAAGTCTTTATGAAATACTGAAGCATTGGTTATATTCAGCATGCCTTAAGTAAACATGACTAGGACAGTGGCAGGTCACGTGTGAGGGTTAGAGTCCGTTCTGAGGTAAAAGAGACCAGATTTAATTGGAGTCCAAATTGCATATGACACCTACATGAAAATGTCTATTTATTAATTTCCGATGTAAGACTAATAACTGTTATCAATCGGAAACATTTTTGTTTAACTCATCGGGCGCTTGGTCGTAGTGGTTAAGTGACAAGATTGATTGAGCATTTAAGAAACATATTTCCCCTCAAAACTTAACACGAATTTGCCCTAAACTCCGGAAAGTAATATACTCTGCAACCTCTATCGCCGCAAACACGCGTCATGTAGTGGGAACTCGCAATAAGCCACGATAATAACCTCCCCCAGCCATGCGAACGCAAAGATATAAATAAGGCACAGAGTGACAAGCCACTTAATGTTTGATGAATTTCCGTGGGTTTCCTAATTTCATTGCAGCATGACTTTCCTGTTTTTAATCGTCCCAATATCCGTCTGAGTAGGTGTGTGGGTGTTGAACATTTGAAGGGCTTTTTATATTCTTTTTATTAAAGGGAATGTATACAGAATACAGAAGTCACCAAAATGTAGTGTTGTTACTAGAATTTCATTGTGTTTTCTTCCAAGTTGGGAATGGGAGTTTTGTGCATACTCACCATCTTACAATTTACATTTTCCGTGTCAAAATGACAGACTTATTATGACTCATGACGCGGACTTGGACTCGCGTGCGACTCGAATCCCGTGTTCCGTGACTCGGACTCGGACTGTACTGGAGTCACGATGACATGGACTCTTGACTCAGACACGGACTCGAGTCACGATGACAATGACTCGGACTCGGGCTCGACCCTGTGGCTCGGAATCGACCTGCGTGACTCGGGACTCCACCAAATTAGACATAAAACACTTATTTTTTTCTCAATAATTACAAATTGCATTTTGAAGACGATCCTCTCCTGAGCAAGCGCACAGTCAGTGCGGTGTAGAAGAAACGCACCTATAAGTACTGTATACACTGCGCATGCGGCTGGCATGGTGCCTTGCCTTATTTGACATGGTATACATGTATTTCCAGTTCATTAAATTAGAAAAAAGCTGTGAAACATGGAAAGATTTATACTGTGAGTTTATAGCAGTACCTTAAAATAGATTTCCAATATACACTAAAGGTGACTCGTGACTCGGACTCGGACTCAGGACTCGGACTCAGACTCAGACTACTCTGTAACTACTCTTGGACAATTTGAGCTGGAAAATGTCTTTTTACACATAAAATTGTCAAAATTGAAAATTTGTCATTTTGACCCAGAAGGATGGTCATGTCCCGTGACCCGGATTCAGGGATGAATCTGAATCGGAACATGCATAGGTCTGCAATGATCAATACCAAGTTGATTAATGGATGGTATAAGCCGTCTCCTGTGTATTCCTATACGGAAGGTGTATTGCATTAATGTAATAATGTTATAAGGATGTTTTATAAGTATTTCCTATACATTGCCACGTCCAAGAATTTTGCGCGTTTTCTATGCGCGTTTTATTCTCGTGTCTGGACAAGTATCGACGTAAAGCAACACACCAGATTGTCGCAGAAATTAACTGTCAATGGTTAAAAAAAAACATCATCTTGAAATTGACTCTCCAGAATTTAAGTTATATACCAACGATAAAAAAATTGGTTGCAAAATGCCAATTTGTTGACTTGACGTTTGCATCCAGATGGCGTTTTTACACCTGCAATCCACTCGCGGCAAGGAAACCGATTGTCGCTGCTGAGAAATCAAGGCCTTCAAAACATCGCGCCGACGGTGGACCAAACCAGCAATTAAACTGCTAAAGTCTCCGATCGGTGCAATCAACATTTGAAAGCAATATTTGATTTAAATGCGGTGCAAAACCAATATTGGGATTTCGCTTGAGACTCTCCTAATCTAATAAAAGTGGCAATTTTGCGCTAATGAAGAGGGTGATTACCGCGCAGCCGATAGAAGAACGGCGGTGGCGGCGTTTTTTGACCGTTTTGCAGTAATATCCTAAAAAAAAATGAGATGTGTCTTAACAAGGTCATAACAATTATGGGAGTCCTGGTTGTTCTTTCGATAAAGCTTCCTTGAAGTATGCTGAATATTTTAAATCCTTTAGGATATTCTACAAACTAAAGTATTCGTTGTTGAGTCTATCTTGGACTACTCTCATCCTGATGCCCTGCATGCATGCATGCAGCCGTACTTGTTAATTCCTGTAATCAAATTTTGACTTCATCTACGCCAGTAGCGTAACGCTAGCAACGAAGATGGTTTTGGAGTTAAACCCCCTGATGACAAAACAATTAAGTGCGAGTGCACAATAAGCTCTGGCCGCCTTGTAGGAAAGTCTTGCAGGAATGTATTGTGCGTAAAAGCCCTGGGCCCCGTCCCACGCAAAAATCACGCGCTGAAAATTGACCATAAAATAAGCCCCCTAAGTTTCCGATAAAAATAACGGGCTACCTACCACGTGACTATAACATTACTGCACATTATCTTGCCTATATTTTACACAATTTTCATTACACAACTTTACGAATTGTTACAAATAATTTTCGTTAAGTATTTAATTTCTTTTGTTTTTTTCCCCTTCGAATTAAAAATTGGTACTTATATTATATGGAAAACTTAGGGGGCTCGTTTTTTGGTCAAATTTCCGGGGACAGACATATGCAAAATAGACGCGCATGCATCGATCGAGACAAAACACGTTTTCCGATAATTTTCGTCAAGAGTGTATTTACTGACGATGGCATGGCATTGGGTCAATTTTTGGTCAAATATGTGGGTCAATTTTCGGGGACAGACCGACCGACCGACTGACCGACCGACCACCAAGTGACATGTAGAAGCTCCTGCCATAAAAAAGGAGGGGGGGGGGGGGGAGAGGGGAAGGGGTAGCCGCGCACCGCCACCAAATCACCCCCTTAGATCCGCCTTTGTATACTAGCCTACAGGAGCTGCAAACCTTAACACAAACACTTTTTTTGCGAAAAAAAAAATCCAGGCTACCAATCAAAATGAGATTTACTCCGACGTTTTGCTTTCTGCCTTGCAGCACTGAAACTTTGGGCCCCTATTCCATGGAAGATTAGGAGTCCATTCGCGGCTCGAGCGCGGCCCAGTCTTGTGAAAAAAAGCAAACAATTCGCGCACAGCTGGCGAATTGTGTCTTTTAATACATGCCGCTTTGACAAACAGATTTATCCCACAGGCTGGAAGGGCACGATCTAGCTGTATCTTCGTCCATAGCACATGTTTAAGTAGGCCACACATAAATATACACTGGGAATTTGTGTCTTTGGACGGGGCGTAAACACAAAGGTTAAAACCTCTCAGGTGACCTGGTTTATGAATTGACTGATTGACTGTCTACATCTGATAGCAGAGTTTATACGGTTTTTTAAATGCCACCAAAGTTCAGCTGTAATATGAAATCATATTTATGCCATCAGCATGGGACTGGCGGCTTATTGCATCCCTCATTCATCAAATACTTTTCCACAATTATACCCCCATCTTTTCTATGTGCCTCTCCACCGATGTGGGGAGGATGCTGAACGCTCGAAACCTCTAAATTCAGCCATGGTTTGGAAGTTAAATGCCCCTTAATTAATTATAGTTTTATTATAGGGTGGTTGTTTGCGCCATTTCCCGTCGCACTGCATTGCCCCTTTATCTTATGATTTAACCAGCAGGGTTAATTTTGCTAAATGCGCTTCAAAAATGTGTCAGATGTATCAAAAATCTGCCAAATTCCCCAGAAGCTATCGAAATACACTATATAACACTTAAAATCACATGCAGATGTTTCATGTAGTTTTGTCTTAATTAAGGTTCAAATTACATTATAAACAATTTATAGTCACATAAAGATGTCATGATATTGCATAAAACACGGTTGTGTCGTGACGAGTTAAGTCCCATTTCTAAGTGAAGCTAAGCACCTACACCAGGCAACCTATCGATTATGCAAGTGTTTGTTTGAAAAGATTGAAGCTTTTTTAAACAAATGTACCATTTTTTTTCAAATTTGTTATGTATTTTTGTGAAATTAACCATTTTTGAAGAATTCTGTGAGAAATCTGCCAAAAAAATCCATTCTGTCAAATTTTCTGTCAAACTTTTTTTTTTTTAACGAAAAATTCTGCCAAATTTAGCCGAAATTCGGCTAAAACGGTCACCCTGTTAACCAGTGCTTCCGTTTTTATCCAAATGGATTGTTCCTATATTAAAGTGAGGGGAGGATATTAAGTCATTGGCGTTTTATTTTCAGTTGTGAGGTCGTCAACTTCCCCTACAAATTATGCTTTCATCGAGTCCAATTCGAAAGAATGAAGACGGTCTTTTTTGAGAGAAATGATACTGACCATCTTGACCTCGAAAATGACATTACACTGTAAATTCTCCAGAAGGTATGTTGCGCCCGAACTATAACATCGTCCCAACTACAGTTGAGGCTCAGTCCGGTCGTATCAGGAGAATCCAGGCACGTCATCACTGTACACACAAGGCCCCCTTCAATGGCGAAAGCACTGCGCAAACTATTGGCCAAAGCAACTGGCCCGTGACGCCTCATAATGAACAATAACTATCACAGTGCTTTCGCCATTGAAGGGGGCCTTTTGACTTCAGTTTGGACGGGCTGTCCCAACGAAAGTTGGGGCCATTGCTACATCTGGGGCGCGACACCAAAAAAACACTGTACACATGCATGTTGTTAACTTGTGCCTTATCCGTATTATATGTAGGATCGGACGCAGTCAAGTGCTTGACTGGCAAGTTGACGTAAACAAGGTACTTTCTGTCATGGGTCCGTCGCTTGATAGATGCGTTGCCTACAGCGATTACAAAAGACGCCCCTGTGTTAATTATGAAACAAGTTCAAAGGGTTGGATTCTGGTCTTAACTTCAGCCTGTTCCAGCTTTGACAAATTGCAATCCAAACGGCAATATAATCCCGCACTTGAAAGAGGTCGGGCTTGAAGAGAAAGGGGGCCCTACACTCCATTAATGTTGCCTGCTGAACCAGTGCCCTTTCCTTGCCCCCAGAGCCCCAGTGACCCACCCTCGGGAAAGCAGGGACTCATGGTAATTGATAATTTCCCTGTTGGCCTAAAATATCGTGCGCCTGGAAATCCATGATGGATCATGTGCAGTGATCGTCCATTTCTGGTACGATGGTGGGTCGAAATTAGAAGACTTGGGGTCGGGTTAAGAGGCACACTCATATTTTCCACTCCGACATCTACATTATATTAAAGGAAAGATACAACATTTGCAAACAAACTGCTCCTAATTTTTCATATTTACTTATTCCACATTTTCTTTGCAATTGATTACACACCTGTGAAGGGTACAAACCTGCTAGACTGATTCTCTGACCCTACAATTCCCCAACGTCTATTAATTGCTCCGTTTCATCTTAAGTGGGGTCAAGGAACCAGACTACAAGAACATGATAGGTTTTCTTGGTTTTTCCAGCATCTACAAGCCCAAAACATGAAACAAGTCAGTTTAACAATGTTTGCTAAACATATTTATCTTCTAAATCAATTTATTTCTGAAAATTGCAGCAAAAGCAAATGTTGTACATTCCCTTTAAGATTTCCAACCGAGTGGTGTATCGAAAAGAAAATGCACGTGAAAACCACTTAATAAAAAAATGTCATTAAGACTCATTTTGTGGCATCCAAATTGTTAATTGTCACTTCGGGACTCCCTTCAAGTTGCCATTGCCCATAACAAAAATCAGAAACCGAGCCGTTTTTTCATACTTGCATTTATCAAAAAGTCCGTTATGATATTATTACATACTAGACCATGTCATCTGTGACGTCATCATCATGGCTATCGGTTGCCGACTGGCATGACAGCCACCCAAGTACATTTGTCATTTTTGTCCTGTAATTTATTTCATAAATGTTCATATTTAACTTGTAGTTTTGGTTGTTGTATTCCCCTACTAAAAGTCAGTGTCTCGTGGCCACATCATGCATTCTGTAAATAAGAGTGTCTTTGAAACGATGTCAATCGTCGATTATTTTGCTTTTCATGCAGTTTAATTTTTGTTCGTTTTCAACAATTACACCACCCATAATTCAAAGAACGATATTAAAAACCAACCTGACTTGTTGAAGTTTCAGCTCAGTGGTTTTTTATGCACCTGTCTAGAAAATGTGCAAAACCATGCAAAAACTGTTGATCATGAAACACGATAGGCCTTTCGTTATTACAACTCTTTATTCAACAAATCAGTCAATTGGAAATCATCAACATTTCTTTATTTTTTTTATTTTTATAAATGACAGCAAGCCGGACGGAATAATTTCACGTGGTATTTAGTATGCAAGTACGAATTTAATTCTATGTGAGCTTTTTGACATTAATTATTCAGTTTACTTTTGGGATACATTTAAATGCAAATGATCCTAATGCCTTTAAAACATCATCGATTTTGATTACATTAATTATTTGGATCTGCCTCCAAAGTGGAACCTGGGTGGTCCTGGAAGAGAACTTCTTTCGTGAAATTTCAGGCCAAGAGTTCAAAAAGAAAACGTCACAAGGGATCGCAAGGCTTCAAGACAAAGCCCATGCAATGTTGTCCCAAGAGATAAGTCGCATGATTCCATCGATGCGTAAAATGCGGGGGTTTGAAATGCGCCAACTGTCGGACGTCATGAATGATTTAATATCCTCCATGTGCAAACGCACTAATGTGTTCCTCTGGGAATTACCAGATGAACGTGGTGATGTTAAGCCCATGTCCCCTTCGGTTGTGAACTTGTTGTAAAAGTAGGGCACTCGGTTGTATGGAGGTTAACGCTTTGTTTAGCCGCCACACAAGGTGAAATTATGGGCCTTTGTAGAACATGACATTGCCAAAGTACTGGGTGAGTCATAAAGAATGTGACCGAATTTGAAAAATAATTTTTCCTTTTTCATTTTTCACTCTCAGGAATTTGAATATCTCGAGGTCAACGGCTACGTCACGGGCCACGTGACACATCCCGAGAGGACGCCCCCAGGCGGCGAACATTTCGAAGAAGATGCTGAGCGGGCCATCGAGTCCTTCCAACAATTCTACCAACTTCCGGTGTCGGGGGTCATGGATCCGGTCACCAAGGAGACCATGTGGAAGCCGAGATGTGGGTTCCCGGATGTAGCGGTGCTGGAGAAGGGGAACGCAACGGGGGTGGAGCTAGAAGGAGCAAAAAGGAGGCGTGTGAGGCGGTATAACGATGGCGGAGGACTGTACAAGTGGGATAAAAGGAAACTCACTTACACGTAGGTTTCATAAACTTCGCAAATTGCCGATGATTCACAAATACTGTGTCATGCCTTAGCGCTTAACTTAATGTTCACTCCAAAATGTACTCCCTTTGTCATTCTCATTAACCTCCATGAAAAACTGGACCACTCATTGGCATTGCGCGCGGTGCAACAATTAAAGCATTCGTTGTTTCCCGACCCCTCCATTCGAATGCGGTTCGGGAACCAGTACATACAACTCTGCAGCCACGCCCATAAACTGCTAAAAACTCCTCCCTCCGAGAGGAAAGAGGATTTTAGGTCACAGACTAACTCACTTTTTTGTCCTCATGATGTGCTGTTTTAAGAAATGGATAAAACTTACTGGAACATTTGGATGTTTATTACGAAATGTCCCTGCCCCCTCTAAAACTGATAATTCGAGAAAATGTTGAGAAATACAGGATTTTTTGGGTTAAAAATTTGTTTTGCCACCCTCTAGAAAAATCCAGGCGACGCCCATGTAAGGAGAATAACTTTTGTGGCATTTTTAAACTGTCATTTTGCTTTCTCTCCTTATTTGAATTCTTATCGCTCCACAGGATCCTCAACTATCCATCCAGGGGTAAGCTGAAACCCTACGAGGTGCGTGATTCCATCAAGCAAGCTTTCGGAGTCTGGGCCGACGTCACCCCGCTGGAATTCCAAGAGCTGGAGGGGTCCAGGGAGGCTGATATACGCGTTGGGTTTTTCCGGGGGAGCCACTCCTATGACAAGGACCACCCGATGTTTGACGGGCCGGACGGCGAGCTGGCCCACGCCTTCTCGCCGAATAGCGGCTGGGGCGACGTGGACGGCGATGTGCATTTCGACGACGCGGAGATTTTCGGTTTGGGGGAAAATGAAAACGGTGAGGACAAATTGAAACATAAAATATTTAAGCCTACATACACTGATACCTAATACATGTAGACCAATCCATTCAAACCCCGCCCAATTGTGCTTTGACCAATCACAGCTGACATGTGAACACGTGCGTATGACGCACACGGCTGGAACATGCAGTGTGGCACTGCAGAGGTGCATTAGTCTGGTTCCCAGACCTAACAGTTATTCCCAACGCTCATTGTAGGTCAGGCAGCCTCCGTGGCTAAAAATAAACATGACGACATTGATGGCCCTTTTTCATAGCTCGGCTTCGTTTCCGATTTCGCTTTATCACTTTTAGCTTTTAATGTTCTGATCAAATTTTCTGTAAGATAACATTGACTAATGTTGATCTGGAATCTTCAAAATTAGGCACCCAAATAGCACTATTAGCAGGCGGAGCCGAATGAAGACCGAGTTTTGGAAAATCTCGGTAACGGTCGTCAAATTCAAAATTCTACATGACGCAGCAAAAAGTTCGCCCATACGATCCGAGTATATTTGATGCACAAAATCTTCGTTGAATTTCAAGTTTTCTAAATGAAAGCAATGAAAATGAATTATCAACTCATTTAAAAAAATTTAATAAGCAATTAGATGCTTTATTAAACCTATATTATACTCGGAAATACTCGGGCGCTATCCGATTGTCGACGAAACGAATTCGGCAAACTTCGGAAATTTTCGGAACAAGGAGGAATTCCTCCCGTTTTAGTCACGTGACGTAAATTGTAATATAATGTAATGCCCACGTGCGCAGTGGGCGGGGTTTGGATCAGTCTATTGGATCCGTGCAGTGTCTTTTAGCCTTCGTGTGCGGGACACTGCGTGCGCATATTGCATACACTTCCCGCGCGTATCACGGCATAGACTGCGTGCGACCATTTTTCATCCGTCTGTGCAAAAAACCAATAGCCAATTTTTGTATTTGCTTGTTGTTGTTAGTGTTCGTTTTTTGTGCCTTTTGTTGAGACCTTTGGCCAGCATTGAGCAGGCGCAACACGTAGACACGCCTGGCGAATGGCGAACTTCGTCATTTAGCCTATTCGCGAATTACCAAAAGTCGTTTTGGCCTAGTCGCTAAGACGTAACCTTGTATTTTTGTCCTTTTTGTATAGCGTTTTCAACACATAACAAATACATGCCGCGATAGAAAAATTCAGAGCACACCAAGCATAATTTCTGATCAATTCATTCGTACTGTGCGCATTGCCATGTATTGCCATAGGACCAGGATATCACAAAATGTAAAGGATAAATCTCGAAATACATCAGGCTCTATTTCAGAAACCTTTTCGACCTTGTCAAGTTCCCCGATCCTTTAGGCCCCAACCACCCCCTTCTCTTTGGGATTTTTTCCGGGGATATATGTTAGCCTGAATCCCTTGGAATTTCGTCCGGGGAAGCCTCAATGCCATTTTTGTCCCAGCCGCTGCCCCTGTAAGATACCCCAGTTCCGTCAAATCCTATAAACGACGCGCAAACCAATTCCTAATCGGGATGATGTACGTCCAAGTTTGAAAGAATTCAGCTTGCGTGCGCGGTATCAATTCACCACAGCAGGCTCTTGGGGGGTGGGTTGGACTTTTGCCCGGCCCCTTCTGGGTGTAGTGAACTAATTCAAGTGAGAATTTCTACGCGAGCTGATTAGCATAAATAGTGACCCCACAGTTTCTTTTGAAAACGGAGATCGTTTGTCTTTAAAAACGGTGGAATTGTGTAAATGTAGCCAAGGATCAACTCCCTGGTTTTTTGGGCTTTCATCTGAGGGCAGGCTTGATAAAATTACAGTTGAAAAATGGGTCCTATTTGCCTGACAAAGTGGAAGGATGCCACTTGTAAAACGGCTACATGTAGGCTTGGGAACTATCACTTTTGGGGAGGGGATTTTGTTTTGGTGTGAATATTGAAAAAATGTAATCGGCTAGTCTACCCAAAATTGAAAAGAAATGAAAAGATGAAGTACAAGACAATAATTTAATTTTTGTTTGAGAAACCCCAGTAATGTCGGCTTGCATGTTATTTGGCCCTGAACATTGTTGATTTTACATTGTTTTCAATGGGGCTTGAATTGGTTCAGTGCACCCTTCTTCCCTCGTGTTTTATATTTTCATAACTTCAAATATTTTTTTTAACTGTATGAAATAACTATGGGGAGTAGGGCCTAGTGGTACGTTTTGTGGCTCATGTTCAGAGGGTCGACCAGGGGCTCGTAGCTAACGATTGTGTCCTTGGGCAAGCCACTTGACTCGTTCTTGCTCCTCTCTAGGTATCGCCATTAGCTGGGAAATAGTGGTTACTATTCAGAAAATATGCTCAGGAAACCGAAGATAAACATACGCCTGACTAGCCATGTAGAGTTGATCGAGACTTCGAGACAGATATAATTTTAGCTCGCTACGAAAAAACAAACAAACAAAGAGCATTCAAATCATTTTCTAGTGTTGTTGTCGTGTCTATCACAAATCCGTTACAAGCCGGTAACAAGCAAATATGTCACAAATCAATTTACTAGTATCTTTCAGGAGTAACAACTGATGGACATAATCAAAAGGAATGCCTTAATTTTGTCAGAGTTCCTTGGAATAGACCATTATCATGTTGCAGCCATCTTGATTTTTCCCATTCAAATCAAAGTAACCAAAACGAGGCTGGAAGGAAAAATATTCTGGTTCCTTTTTGCACCAAAAAACCATTATCATTCAGTACTGTTATTGGATACAGGGAACATGACTGAAATGGTGGCAGCATGATAAAGGTCTATAGCATGTTACTGGACTTGCCAGTGACTGGAGGACTTGTGATAGACCTGTGCAGCACTCGCAGGCTACAACACTGATATTTTTTTAAAACAATAAGATAAGGATCGGATGTACCCAGTTTTTGTTCAGTCGAAAAATCACAAAACCAAGATGCTACAAGAATCACTTAGTAACGACCTGGCATGCACCTGTAGAAGTAAATTTCCGACTTCCGTTATTTCAGAGGAGATAAGCAACACGCGGTCTCAAAAAAGTTCGATTTCTCGCTGTACTTCGAATAAACTGATTTTGGTTGGAACCTCACCGATTGAATTGCACTGACAGTGAAGTGAAATGTACTTCTTTTCGTCGGATACTTTATAATAAATTTCTCAGCATGAATGTTTATTTCTTTTTTATTGCTACATTTTGCAACAGGTGCATGCGCTATATCACCGAAACTTTAACGATCAGTCGTCAATGCGTTAAAGTACAGTCAAGAGAGTAGGCTTAAAGGGCAAGGCAACTAGACTATGCGATACTCAAAAATCTGAAGACAAGTTCATGCTGGAACTACGATATCTGAGAGATCTTTTTATTTGGCATTTAATGTAAATTTGATGCTTAAAGGGAATGTACAACATTTGCTATTGCTGCAAGATTCAGAAATAAATGGATTTGGAGGATTAGCATGTTATAGCAAATATTGTTAAAATGACTTGTTTCACGTTTTGGGCTTGTACATGGTGGAAAAACCAAGAAAACCAATCGTGTTCTTGTAGTCTGGTTCCCTGACCCCACTTAAGATAAAACGGAGCAATTTATAGACAATTTTGGGAATTGTAAAGTCAGAGAATCAGTCTAGCAGGCTTGTACCCCTTCACATATGTGTAATCAATTGCAAAGAAAACGCGGAATAACTAATTATGAAAAGTTAGGAGCAGTTTTTGAAAAAAGGCCAGTTTTCTCCAACGCTTGTCGGCCGCCCAGCGTTAGAAAAATACAGTTTTTATTGAAAATGTCAGCACACCAGGAGCCACGATTGTACAGGATGCTTTAGACTGTCATTCCCTAACAATCCAGTAAGGTATTTCGTGACAATTTGATCATTTCGTTTTGTGATGTTTGCAGGGGCAATTTAGGAAAAAAACTTAATTCCCGTGTTAATTTAATTTGTGTAAGGCCGAGTAAAAAAATAAACAAGTGTCTACTCTCGTCACCATCCGCTTCCTTTTTTTTTATATCATACATCATACAATTTATTTTTTATTTGTTTACTGCAAAATTTTAGATTATGTATACAAGTTCAAAATCTGGTAGAAGGGTGACTGCTCATTTGCACACAAACGTTTTAGCAAAATAGTCGAACATATGGAAGAATCCATCCGCCATTTTGTGGAGCGCTGTGGTCCAAATGGTTACGGTGTTCGATTTACGTCCCGTGGTACGTGGGTTCGAACCCTGAAGGGGAACATGATGCTTGTGTTCTTGGGCATGATAGTTTACTACAATTGCCTCTCTCCACCCACGAGTGTAAATTGGTACCTGTGATAAAGACCAGAATGCACTGATCTCGAGCTACTGCAAAACTGGTCCCATGGCCTGATGAACAGGGGTAATAATTGTGAAGCGCTGTAAGACCTTTGGTGTATAAAGCGCTATATAAGCACTACATTATTGTCTTGGAAAATCTGCCATTTTGGCAAGGGGAAAAGGCTGCCCCTTTCTTCTTTAAAAACTCCAGAGGATATTTTTGTTTTACTGGGCCTAACCGTTGTCAGATTTCAAAATTATATCATAGACCTTTGCTCTTGCATGAAATTCTACATGTCACTTGGTTATCGGTCGGTTGGATGGTCTGTCTGCCTGCCTGACAATTGACCAAAAGTATGGTGTTCCATATGTGCATTCGGCGTCGTATTTTTTTGCTAGAGCTCAATGTGCACTCGCACTTGTTTTCTTTTACTACGACAGTCTCACTGTATGGCATGATCATTTACAGGTTAAATAACCCTCGTTATCTGTAATATGTATTGTGGCCTTTGACGGCACTCAAGTCATTGGCTCGTAAATGCAAGTGTATACCTCGTATCCAATTCCCCAACGAAAACAAAATATCAGGACTTCGTTTCAAGACCACCGTTTATGGAAAAATACCTCCCCACTGCTTGATAAGATTTCAGGGTGCTTATAGCTGTTGACATTTTAAGCTTTCCTCCAGCACACAATCATTCAAGATTATTGAGTAACATTCCATTGCTTGACATGAGACATTCTTGAAAGAACATCTGCGGGGATTCTCACACGCAAGATATCGGACTCCATACTGTTTTTACGTCGTTAAAAAAAACACATTACCGCCGGAAACGGGAGCAATATAGTGGCGCGTTTATGGCTTCCACAGCTTGGTCGGTTTGATGGATTCAGGAACGAGTTTTAGTTTTCCTTTTTTTCAAAAAAAATTAATATGGTCTTGATTTTTTTCGTTCCTCTCAAAATGTTAAGCCTCTAGCGCGTACCATTCTGTCCAACGGCGCTTTTAGCCAATCAGCGACGCTGACAGATTGAGCAGCCCATCCCGGGACTGAGATCTTGAGTCGGATGTTGTCATTGGGCGCGGCTGGCTCAAGTGTCCTCCTATCATGAAGACCCTGCTTCCGTTCATCAATTGGTATAGGATTTTGCTTTCTGGCATGCTGCGTGTTCACGTTCTTCAACGGGTAGCGTGTTTCCAAACGACCCATGAATGTGGTGAAAGAATTGTGGTTCCTTCCTCGGAAGTAAGTCATGTTCGAATGTTCAGTGAATCATACACACATGTATGTTCTTTCAAAACGATTGTTTTACACGGGCAAAGGGCAGAAGTTCAGCAGATCTGAGATTTTCCCCAGGTTTGTTGAGTCGACACGGTTTCCGGGGCCTCCCGCGGCGTAGCTACGGGAGGGCGTGGGGGGGGGGGGGGGGGTGGCAGGGGCGCCCCCCACCCATAAAAAAAATCGTCGGCCCCCCAGTCGCCCCCCTACTGGAAATTTAGCAATCGGCGAAAATCACGAAACCATGATTAGCGGGTTTAACATAAAGTGCCCGTTTTCACATTTCACATGTATTTTTGCCGAAATCCCCCCTCCCCACTCGCCCCCCCCCCCCCCCCCCACCAGGATGAGAACCCTGGCTTCTCCGCTGTGGGCCTTTTTCCAATTCACCACTCCTTTTCTGCAAGAACCGCTGTAGAGTTTCCCATAGGCCTATTTTTGATCGCAGTAACGGATTTGATTAACTGTTCTACAGTAGCACACTGAAGTCCTAAAAGATTGAGTTTCATCCGAGCTGTAGACCAAAGGCCAATTTAATGGAGATGTTTATACGGCACATTGCTAACTAAGCACAGAAAACATTCGGTTAGCAAAAAAACCCAGCCAGATTGTCGTTTGATGAACATTGAGTGGGACTGGTTCTCAGCTCATTTTTTGCTCAGCACAATTATGTCCAATGCAATTTTTTTTGCTTAGCATCTCTATGAAGAACAGGTCTGAATTGTCACAGAAAACTCAGACAACGGTTTGAAACCGCACCGGACAATTTAGCCCACGTACAGCCGCGACGAAACCGTTAGCGTCAAGCAGAAAAGTCATGCTCGGGTAACTAAACTGAGTGATCGTGTGATTATATCGTGGAACAAGCGGCAACCTCGACACAGAATAATCGCAACCATGCTCATGTCACCAGCGACGTGACGACGATTCACAAGTCATCGTAATTTCACAAAGGTTGACTGCAATTGATACCTGCAAACTTGCGGAAAAGCCTTTGTTTTTGTTCTAATTTCTCTCTTCCGGTTTCTTTTTGTTTTTCGATGACAACTCACATGGACTACATACACTTTTTTTCTACTCGGCACTTTGGACATAAAACATAGTCATATTCCTTTGGAACTTAACGTAGACAACGTTATAGCATAACCAATATTATAGCAAAGATATGTCATGTGATGTCATGTTAAAGGTGCATTTTTCCTCTTGTAATATGGTCATTGAACGGATCGCGCAAAAATTCCAAAATATCAGAAAGTATCAACGAGCATTTCGAGATTGTATAGAACACGATAAAATCAGAATGGAGCTGCTTTGAAAGACATAAAGGAAGTCCTGTGCAACAAGAACATACCCATGTCATTGTGAAGGAGAATTTATAACCAGTGTGTTCTACCAACAATTACATATGGGTCAGAAACGTGGTCATCAATGGAAAGTCAACTTCAGTTAGCCCAAAGAGCAATGGAACGACAAATACCACACATCTCACACAGAGACAAAGTGAGATGTCATTCGACCGCAAACTGGAGTTAACGATGTCAATGATAAAGGTCAAAGTGGAGATGGCTGGGCACTTGGCTCGCAGAAATGACATCACATGGACAAAAAGATTAACAGAATGGCAACCAAGGACAGGAAAAAGAAGAAGTGGCAGGCAAAAAAGAAGATGGCGAGATGACCTCACAGCTTTCATGGGTACGACATGGGCGAGACAAGCAGAAAACAGGTCCATTTGGAAGGATCATGAGGGCTACATCCGACATGGACACAACCTAGGCAAAACAGGCAGGAACATACTTTAAAACTTTTGAGAGGGTGCCGTGTGTTTATAACCGAGATATTGATATTGCGGGACTTCATGTCACAATAAATTGATCGTGATGTCGCCATGGCAACGTTAACATTGCGCATGTTTATTTTTTAAAACAGAAACCCAGACCGTGATTTTGTTGATAACATTATTTTTTTATATTTCGATTATCGGTAAACTTTCCCACGTTCCGGTTGACGCCCGAAGTCACGATCAATGCGACTGAATTGGAATTATCTTTGACACCTCTGAGATGTGGGGGAGTTTTTGTTTAAATGCCCGATGGAAACTTTTGCCTGTGGCTCTTTAATTTGAATGGGAGACTTTTGAGTTCATGCCAAGTAGGTTTGTCGCGCCCGTAAGCAAGAAAAAGATTACTGAACTTGTAAGGTTGCTTTGTGTCATTTTTTGTACATAGGCAATCAAACATTCACATTTTACTGCGACGATTTTGAGTATACTAGCTCCGGCATAAAGTCAGTTGATTCAGAGACAGTCGAACTTTAAAGGATGAAAAATGCAGTGGACAACCGAATTACTAAACTAATTCGAATAATAATTACATTAATCGCTAAATCCCTTTTCCAATGTTGTGCCACACCTATGATTAAAATAATGAATCTGATCTGCAAACATGGTTAGGTAATCCCGTTCATGCTGTTTGTCTATATAATGAATGTTTGAATGAAGTTTTATTTTTCCTCCTATCATCAGCTTTAACTGGTAAAGTCTTCATAACTTATAATAAGTTCCTGTGGTATATGGTATCTCATAATACATCCGGTTCCCGATATATTTTAATGAAGTTGATAACACGTTTTGTATTTCCATTTAAGTGAAGGCACGAACCATTGGGAACACCATTCAACGGATACCATATACTAATATAAATGACCCACCTTCGTATTTCATTTTGATTCGAGGTATAAGCATAGGTAGGCCATACCCCGAACGGGGTACTATAGGCCGTAGAGCCTTTCCCTCCCTTTTGCATTGACCAATTTAAATTGCCGGTCGTGTCGAACTCCATGAGCTTATTGCATAAAGGACATTTGCTCATTATGCATTTTGTTTGTATCCAATAATAACACCACTCTAAATCCAAAGAAGAATGTTCAAAACCTAATCTGTTGAAGTTTCAGCTCATTGCATATTTACATTTTTCGTAAAAACAGTGAAAAACCACGCACAACTTTTTGATCACAGAAAAATGAGAACACGATTTCGTCTATAATAACACTCTTTATATATCATTGGAAATCGCCTACATTTCATGATTCCTTGTAAATGACAGCAAGCTAGAAGCAATAATTTCACGCGGTGTTTAGTACCAGTTCGATCTTTAATCCAAGTAATAAACTTGTTGATGATAAATCGGTAGGTTACTTTTGAATTGGAATTCATGCATAATTATGATCCTGTGTACCTTAGTTTAAGATCGCAGAAAGACGTAGCAGCAGTAGGGAGTACAATGAACACCGTGTCGTTCTTACACACGTCAACGATTGTGCGTAATACAGATATAAATACAATTTTCCCGTTTGTTTCTTGGCAGTGTACAACTTTTTCCAGATCGCCGCCCACGAGATAGGTCACAGCCTCGGTTTGGATCACTCAAGGGAACCCATGGCGCTCATGTGGCCTCACTATCATTACATCAGCAACTTCCGGTTGCCGAAGGACGACATCTTGGGCATCCAGTCACTATATGGTAAAGGGGGAGAACTGAGTGTTTCTCCTTTTGCAAGATGTGATTTATGATATCGTTCTTTTTTGGGGGTATAATTTGCCAGAATTTACTTCTTTACGCATGGACTGTGGCGGCGTACGGAGGAGAGGGGAGGGGGAGGGGGGGGGGGGGGTCAAGGGGGTATTTGCTCCCCCCCAATTATTTTCCTTGCCCCCAATTTGTTTTAAACTAACGAGAAAAAGAAACAAAAATAAGGTGAAAGAAAGGGGAAAAAAGAAAAGAAAAGACCAATTAAGTAAATCAATATAGAATGGTACATTGATTGTATATTTAAGACTGTAAACCCTCGGAAGTAGCCCTAAAACGCGGTTATAAGTACATAAATACGTCTATGAAAATAAATAGTTTGAACAGCGCCCCCAAGCGTAACATATCGAGTTTTTCACGACCGGTGACTTTTCTATGTAGCTCCCCCCAACCCCCCCCCCCAAAAAAAAAACCAAAAAAAACCCCACACAATTCTTTGCCACTCACTTGCCCCCCCCCCCTCAAATTGTACAGTCTGGCGCCGCCACTGCGCATGAATGTCTAACAAAAACAGGAAAAGAATAAGAACTTGCGTGGTTCATAATTGTTAACAAATTGGATTTTAACCCGTAGGCCACTTTTTCTTAACTGATTTGAAAAAAAAAATGATAGTGTTACTTAATTTCACAATTTTTGAAAAGGAATGTGTATGGGAACCAATTTGCAGAGAGCGCCCTCACTGAGAACAACAACTGTTATTTAACTTAAATGTCAATACAAGTTTTTTTTACTGATACCTTTCAGGGGAGGTGTGGCCTAGCGGTTAGGGTTCGTGACTCATGATCAGAGGGTTAGAGATTCGAATCCAGCTGCGGGCCATACGTTGTGTCCTTTGGCAAGCCGAATTGGCTTGTGTCTAATTTCCACCCAGGCCACTAATTGCCTCTCTCCACCCAGGAGTATAAATGGGTGCCGGCATTAGCTGGGGAGCAACCTATAATAGACCGGCATCCCATCCAGGGAGAATGGACCTATTCTCAGTCGTTTCATGCCACTGAAACCGGAAATAAATGCCGGCCTGATGCGCCACATTGGCTCGTGACAGACTTTACTTTTTTACTCATACCTCTCAAAAAGAAACAAAGACATACTCCCAGTGAGGGCGCACTACACTCTGAAAACTCCCATGTCAGATTAACCCGGAATCCGGGTGTTTGCCGGATCAAAATAACAATTGTTGCCAAGGTTTCCGTGTCTGAATGAACCGTAAAATGCCATTCGTACCCGTACAAATTTCATTTTAGATCCTGAAAAAAATTGGAAGGACCCATGCTATGTAAATTTGCAATCCTTGAAAATGCACAGTTTATTGGTCATATTTCCTTATTTTCAATTTTTGTTTTGCAAATCAGAGGTGTTTGGTGCCCTTTTGGTTTTTATGCTAATGCAAATTTTCCATACACATTTTTCATGACAAAAGTGTGATGTCTTTTCAGGCAGAAACCTCTAAGTTGCAGCAGCACCAAGAGTTCCCAGAATGTTGGACATTTCGCTGTCGAAAATTTTCTTTTCTTTGGTGATTCGTTGTTGTGTCAGTACATGGCAGTAAGCCAATGAGCAAACTTTTAGCACTAATGTTTTCAATCATGGGCTTTTGCTTTCCGGGGGGGGGGCTCTAGCGCCTCCCATTGCCCCCCCCCCCTCGCGACGCCCATGTTTTCAATGAACACATTTGTTGGTTCACAATTTCAACAGAAAACACCTAAACTGAACAGTGTCTTCCTGAAATAAGATCACAGCAACAGCGCCTCAGTTGCCCGGAAAAGAATGGACAATTTGATATGTTTAGAGAAGTGCACTTTCCAATAAAATTAACCACAAAGGGATGTTCTATATTCTTCATACATGTAAGAGGAGTAGAAAGTTGCACAAAATATCTTCCTCAAGGCCCTTTAAGCCAAACAGAACCTAGATTCTGGGTCAATATGACCAGGGACTATGTAGAGTACGCAAGGCCCGGTCAATATAATCGGGAGGAGCCCAACCCCACCCCTCCTCGATGATTACATAATGATGTACCCTTCTCTCCCCTTGCATCTGTACCAGGTTCGAATCCCAGCCAAGATCAAAAAGGCATGCAACAGCAGGATGTATCTCACTGTGTGACAGTCTTCGACGCCGTCACGTCAATAGGGGGCGTCATTTATGTTTTCAAGGTAAGAACCGATCGATAGCGCGCGATAGCAGGTGCAGGTTGTGATACTACATACTTCTTCTGCACATATTTGTTTCAGCGAAGACATATACAGCTTACATAAATTGGGTTTCATTTATTGTTATCCATTCACATGGGCGTCGAGGGGGAGGGGGGGGGGGCAAGGGCCCCCCCCCCAAAAAAAAAACAGCCAAAAAAAGAAGGAGACAAAAAAGAAGACGCCGGTGCAAAGTCTTATTGCTGTTAATTAAATGCACATTTAAGAACACGGGCGTCCACATAATGTTCCCCCACCAACCCTCGTAAAGATGGTATTTTGAGAATATGGTAGAGAAAGTACAAGAATTTTGAGAGCTTTGCCCACCTGTAGAAAAAATCCTGGAGACGCACATGTCCTTTCATTCTAGCTGCAGGTTGCTATTAACTGTTAAAAGCATTTCTTTTCAGTAGCTGTGAAAAGGGATCCTTTTTTAAGTATATCAACAACCAACCTCGATTTTGAGAACTCAAACTTTGTATAACGAACTTCCTCCCCCGAAACACACGAAAACCAGTATAGTTGAGTACACTTCTATATTGTATTATTTCATGAATTCAAGCCGAAAGCGTTGAGTAGCCCAAACTGCATGGTGCATTCCGGACGAAAGTTCTCATTTACTGCTATATGTTTTAGCCTCTGTCAATAGACTAGCTCAAGCTTTAAAAATATTACCCAGGTTTATAATCCACCATGGCACGGCCTACTTCTTCGAAACCAGAATTTCTTAACGCGAGCCTTCACAAAACAAGTGCGAGTACACAATAAGCTCTGGCCATCTTGCATGAAAGTCTTGCATTAAATGCATCTAAATGATCCCTGCAAGAGCTTGAAAATACGACGCCCAAAAATGCGACACCGATGGCACATAATGAAGCTGCACCATACACTTAAAAAAAAAAATTATCACTAGATTTATAGCGATTTGTGATAAATACCACGCGACCATAACATTACTGCACAGTCATAATTTTGCCTCCATTTATAAACTTTTCATAAACATCTTTCTGAATTGTTACAAACAATTTTGTGTGAAGAATTTCTTTCTCTGAAAATAAAAACTTGGTAGTTATATTTTATGGGAAACTTAGGGGATAGTTTTGGTCAATTTTCTGGGGACCGACCGACCGACCGACCGACCACCAAGTGACATGTATAGAAGCTTCTGCCAAAGCTTAAAAATATATTGTAGAGAGACAATTGTCGCCTTGAGTTGGCATATTGTTGATGGAACAGGTGTTCTTGTTCTGCTTCTCGTCTAGGGAGGGAGATTCTGGGAGATAGCTGGCGGGAAGCTCGCCACTGCCAAGGACGGTCGAATGACGGATGACTATTGGTACCAAATACCCGCCAGGATAAACGCTGTCTACTACAGGAGCGACGGCCGAACGGTGTTCTTCAAAGGTAGGGAAATTACCTCACTACCATCAGCACAATACCTTTCAGTCAAACAGTGCGCATTGACCAATCAGATCATGATTTGGTCACAGTCAGTGTGAGAAATACACACAGGTCAAAAAGCCCCGTGATGCTTCTGTCTGGTTATCAGCTGAGTTTTGTCTAGATAACAGTTTTATAGCAATATTTCTGGTATTTTTTGTTAAAAGTTGAACAAAGAAATAGGGCCTGAATGTTAACCCCTGGTCGCACGCCTCCAGAACCCTTGAATAGAAACATTAGCGTCCCAAAATTTTAGAATTTGCAAATATGGTTGGTGCGTTGATTTCTGAGGACAATCACCCCCGAAAAAGGGCCTTTTGTGAAATTGGTACTAGCATCTAAATTTATGAAAACTGATAAATTGCCTGACGTGACAGAGAATGATGCCCCAAATTTACCTCTCACTTTCGAAAATCCAAAATACATGGGGACAAGTACAAATTTGTGTACTCGTATAGGGCCTACATGAATGGACATTGATGAAATAATTATTTTGGGGCGATCATTAGCTAAAAACTGAGAGTTAAATAGAATACCAATATATATTTAGGCTTTACAATTTTTTTGGAATGAACTTAAATGACTCATTAGCATTTACGAAAAAGAAATGTAAAGTGACCGCTGGCAAGCACTGCACTCGGGCCAGCCCGACTAAATCTAGAACCCATCGGGTAGGTAATGTGATTTGTCATCACTTTTTCTTGAAGAATGTCAAGATAAAATTCCCACATGAATGTTTCTTGGGGTAGTTACGGTTAGAAATCATTCTGTCAAAATTAAAGCAAGAGGAAGGGCGTAGTTTAAAATGCCCATAGTGGACCGCGGGGGGGGGGGGTTCCGCCTCACCGCGTGACTTTTTACCTTCAGGTTATGCTTTGTTTACTGAAGCAAGTTTGAACCTGCGACCTCCAGATTACCGTTCAGGTGCTCTACCAACTGAGGTATCAAGACATAATCTTGGCGGTTCCCAAATTTTGTCATTGTCTTTGTTATAATGCACCTTGGCAGTTTCCCTTTGTGGTTTCTTTTCAATATTTTCTGCTTAGAATCTTAATGAAATGGGCTCTGGGGCTTAGGGCAAATGACAACATTTTTCCCGAGCAACTCTTTGTTGACTATCCTCAGGTGCGAAGTACTGGGTGTACTATGGCCAGTACGCCATGCCAGGCTACCCCCGCCCCGTGGCCGAACTAGGCCTGCCCAGCGGCTTGGACGCCGCCCTGGCCTTCAACTCGGCCAAGACTTACTTCTTCAAGAAGAACCAAATGTGGCGGTTCGATGAGAATCGGCAAGCCGTGGACATCGGCTACCCAAAGAAGTTCAGGCGAGTGTTCAAGGGACTACCAAAGAGAGTGCTATCGGCATTCCGCCATACTGACGGTAAGGATGAGAGATAGGATGGCAAATAGTCTGACAGGTGTACATGGAAAGGGGGCTGTTGAGTGAACAGCCTGATAGGGTATTATCGGCATTTTGCAATGCTATACTGACAGAAAGAGTGATAGATAGAATGGCAAATAGATTCACATAATGTAAGGAGGAAGTGGTTGGTGAAGGGACTGCTATCGGCATTCAGTGATAATGACAGTAAGGGGGATAAGCAGGGTGATACAAAGAGTGAAATGTGTGCATAGGAAGCAGATGCGTAAATCTGTGGCGGCGAGTGGGGGATGAGGGATGACCAACAAAGTGGGGGGTATTCCCCCACCCCCCGGGATTTACGCCCCTGATGGTAAGGGACAGACAATATCCGGGACATCTAGTGGCTTTCCGTATACACTCACTATTCCGCTGTACTGACGGTAGGGATAAATCGAGTGACTAACAGTGTGACAATGGGTTTTGGACGAACTATAATGGGGATGGGCACCCCGAACTTTGACACTGAAGGATTGCAATGCGATGCAAGGGTGCAGCCTAACCTACACCAACTCTGGACTAAAGGATTGGGTGATAAAACATTGACATGAATACTGTTTTGCAGGGATGTAACCGATATCCCACTTTATCCAGGTATTATAATTGGTTGCAATTGGCATCCCATCTCTATCGTGTCTTTCACGTCCGCAGGTCAGCTTTACTTTTTGAGCGGCAAGAAGTACTACCGGGTCAACAGGCGAGTTCGGAAGGTGGACAAGGGCTACCCGCGATATTTCACCAAGGATTTCATGGGATGTAACTCTGTTAGGAGATAACTTTTGGGATATTTTCTTTGTCTTCCATTGGTTGTTCCGCATATCTGCTCGTCCTTGATTACCGTGCATATCATCGGCAATTAACTACACCATGTTGACTTGTATGATTATGTATGTTACCATTATGCGATCAGCAAGACGTCGTTTGGCAACAGACCGGCGGCGATTTGAAAAAGGTGGGGCAGGGAACGGGCGTCTTCAGACAAATTAAAAAAAACTTCAAGGGGGATGATGACAACGAATTTGCCGACAGACCAATCTCTGCTGGGAGTAACCAGAACCAGTCACCACAGAAGGGCATATGCGCGTATTCCCTTATGCAATAACGCGTAATCACCAAAATGTTCCCATCAAAAGGGCATATGCAGAAAACTGCCTCTATTTTAATGAAATATTTTCGTCAGAAATTAATACAGGTTATTCCAAAACTCGTTATTGATACATGTGGCACATTTCAAAATCGTACGATTTATAATACGCGTGGGAGAACCATAGATTCGTGGGGGAACAATAGAACCCTTCAATTCAATTTTCTTGAAAATGATTTTTTTTTGCGTCAGAACGCTCATGCAGGGCACCCGACGATATAAACAAATCTTAGGAAATAAATTTAATTTTACAATTTGATGTTCAGTGACAGAAGACGGACCCGAAACTGAGCCCATGTCTTCCACGTGTCACCCAAGCCGTGTGCGTCTTTAATAATAATGGAACTTTAACCAGTGATAACGATTGGTTGCTTTATCCGGGGAAATGAAACTTCAGTAGGTGCATGGTGTTTACACAAATCAATGGCATGGTTGTTGCCGCTCTCATTGAAAAATGCAAATCAGGCCCGTTCTAGACGCCGTGCTACCGTTGATTGCCCCGAATTTGATTAGAACGAGTGCGGCAATAGCACGTTGCTGTAAACGCCGAACGGAATAGTGGAACCTGAATCTAGGGTATGGGTTCGCTCGTACCCCCCGCCCTGCAAACAGGGCGCTGGTAAGGGCTGACGTCTTTTGAACACTCATTGAATAGACTTGCGTGACCTGTGACGTAGAACGCGTCACTCAAACTTCCGGTGCCCATCATGCGTAGCGCGCGCTAGCTGCATGCGAAGGTCAATCTGTACTTCCTTCACAAGGTTCTGTGAAGCTCATCATCCCTTACCAGCGCCCTGTTTGCAGGGGGGGGGGGGTACGAGCGAAGGGTATGGGCTCCGTGCGCCAACTAAAGAGGGCGCCCTTTTACCTAGCAACGACACCCCATGGGCGGGACCATGGGCGGGACACATGTATTTCGCTGGTTGACGCGCGCACCCCGTCCCTTGTGTGTGACGCATGTACACGCCATAGCGGCAAGATATTGCTTTCAGGCAAGATGGCGTCGTTCGGTCACCCAAAACTGTACTTTCTTTGCGGGGAGGGGTACTTGTGAACGGAGCGGATAAAGGGCGAGGTTAAATCAGTTCAAGCAGTTCAATGAACTTTCAGTGTGATCTAAATTCGCGCCAGTTTCACTCCCCGTGCACGCGTGATGCGGATACGTGAGAGGGTATTGTGAGCATGCGCATTCCTTAAAATGTTTGCCCCACTTTTGAATAGGCCTGAGACCTAATGACGTCACGCGTTGTTTACATGTGCACTTTCCTATGTGGCAGACGGTCCCTACTTCTTCTGGCGTCCCAACTTCGCTCCCATAGGACAGCGCATATGTAAACAAAACCATTACGTCATAAGGTCTCAGGCCTATTTAATTGAGTTAGGCACGGCGTTTAGAACGGTTTCGCCAGTACTGTGTAGCGCCAGTGCATATCCGGAGGAAGGTACGCCGGACGGTTCGCGATATTTTTTTCAAGAAACTTAGGTTTCAGACTTCTTTTCTCTTCAATAAAAATAATTCTCAAAATAAATTTGGAGAAGAAAAATAGACATGAGCCAATGTCTTTCGATCACAAACTCATCCCACTAACCACCATAAAGGCTATTGGCGATATCCGTTCTTTACATTCCTTTAATTAAGCTAATCAACTAAGTAAGATGCAGTGACGTTATTGTTACTTTCTCATGAATAAACATAATACTCCCTAGGTTACCAATAAAATGTGTACCTTCCTCCGGGTGTGATTCTGGCGGTACCCTATAAAGGGCGCGCGTTGCCGTACCGAACTCAATCCGCAGAGCCAAACGGTTCTAAAGGCCGTGCTATCGCCGTGCCATCGCCATACCGAATTCAAAAAGCCAAATAACTTGAGTTCGGCACTGCATGCAGTAACTCGGCGTCCAGAACGGGCCTAATAGCCATTTTTTTGTCGCGTTCCCTGAATGTATTTTATCAATTATTAACTTTTGCATGGGATGGCGCCAGACTATTTATGCAGCCTTATTTTACTTTAAGGTTTTTTTTATCTGGCTAAAAACATTAGGGGATGTTTAATTACACGATTTAAATTATTCAATTATGTAGACTTGAATTATTTAGTAATGTACTGGCTTTCATTTCTCTTCGCAAGTTCCGAAAATGAAGATTTTACCTCATTTTCAATTCAACATGGCCGACTTGTGAATAAGGCTCATTCAATCTGGGCGTGCATGTAAATAGTTATGAGATATTTTGTACTAAAGGTATAGTCTTCCTTGCTATTAACTTCATCATAAAATTGAGAACAACATAGCGAATTTCATCAATAAGAGTAATTCCTTGGTCCACTGTAGTTTTTTATGTCAATTATTTGTATAGGTTCATGTAGATTTTCGAAAATCCAGTTTGTACATATTGTTTTTATTGTTTAGTTTCTATTACAATATTTACACCTTTTAATTGAATAAAACACTTTCCAACAAATATGCTCATTTTGAATGTATACTGTCAACTACTTTCAGTATTCCAATTATTTGTGTATTCAGTATACCCTATAGTTTGCAAGATATAAATTTTACATGGTGAGGACGGTGACAATTTATGACACTACATACAATAATGGCATTCATAAGGGATTGAGCTTAGCCGATTTTAACGAAGTACGTTTAAAACCGGCTATAGGGCCCTGACGCGGATAATGGCCAGAGCCGAAGTCGAGGGTCACTCTATATGGTGTTCTATATTTGCCATCTCGCATCTTGCATCTCGCATCTAGCGATAAAAATCTCGCAATATGATATCCCCCACTTAAAAAATGCCCCCACCCGTCCCCCACCAATCGACGCCCATGCTCAGGGGCATGATCGGTGCTTGGCCGCTTGCGGTACAACACGGTGAGAATGACAACCACGGCTTCGATTGTCACGATGACTAGGAAGCTAGGTGGGATTGGTTGTGTGGCTAGAGTGGGAGTTTCAGGGTTCTCAAATCTCACTCTTCCGTGAACCCGTCGATTGTCTGGTTTTTTTTTTATTTGTCGGTCCATTGACCGTATACAATGTCGTGACTTTGATCCCTCTCACACAAGCGGCGGCCATTTTGACACTCCCTAAAAAATCCCATTTTTTTGCAGCACACAATGTGTACATGAAAACCACTGTAACCCATTAGTCCTGGACGCGATTTGTTTTTTTTAATGAAAGAATGTTGCAACCTGACGCCACTTCAGCGGCTGTGTACAAAGTCAACGGAGAGTCAAGAACATTAGTATTTCCTAACAAAATTGGAAATGTTTCTCAGTCCCAGATGTCTTATCATCATTTTTTGCAATGAGTGACCTTCATTGAGATGAAGAAACAAAATGGCGTCAGGTTGCAACATTCTTTCCTTTTTGTTTTTATTTCTGGCGGTTAATTATATCCAATGTTATTTTATAGAAGGGAAAGATTGCCATAGTCAAAGAGTACAATGTTTTTGGGGATTTGAGCTTATGTTTCGGGGATTTCAGCTTGTGTTCCGAGCCCTCAAAATGATTTAAAAAGGGAAAGGAATGCATGTAAGCAAAACAGGGTAAGAAGTAAACATGTTTTTTGAGGCAGAATTTTGCTGTCAGGCTGGGGATATATTTCAGCAGGACCGTGCCAATGCATGGTTAGCAACTGTGTAGTTAACCCTAAAAGGGCCGGGTTACTTTGACCATCTCTCAGCCGGGGGGGGGGGGGGGGGGGGGGGGGGGGATTCCGCGCGGATATCCGTCTTCTTTGGGTGCATGAGAATATCTCGAAAAGTCAATGGTCAACCCACCTAATAATGAAAAGAAAATGAAAGATTACATGATGACCATCATTTTTGTGTGCAGCTTATAACCTGTGAGAGTTTGAAGTAGGAGCATTAAGCACTGGTGTCTATTGGAATGTTAATAGGCCTACATGGTTGTGCCCATGACGCGGGGCCGACGCGCTGCAGTCAGTGGCTTCGACCTATGCTTCTACACACGACCGTGTCGCCCTCTCACACACGTGGCGGCAAATTTGAAGCTCCCAAAAAGACCCACAACGCACGGATCCGATTATAAAAATCACCGTATTTAAATAGTTTGGGAAGTACGGAAGCGTAGAAGGGCCAAAAGAAATTAAGAAAAAATTAGCTCCTATCTCGCCGCGGCGAATTACTAGGGAGGTTTCGCAAGCGAACGGATACGCTTACACTTACGTTTAGCTATCCGTATCCGTTTTTTACTTACGTGTAGCGAGCGAGATATGCGTGTCGTCTGCACGTATGACGTCATACGCCACTCACTATCCGCTAAACGTGCAGACGACACGCATATCTCGCTCGCTACACGTAAGTAAAAAACGGATACGGTTAGCTAAGCGTAAGTGTAAGCGTATCCGTTCGCTTGCGAAACCTCCCTAATAATTATCTCGCCGCGGCGAGTTACTAGAGAGGTTTCGCATGCACACGGATACGTTTAATGCGACGGATACGTCTTCAGTTATGACGTCATACGCCACTCACTATCCGCTAAACGTGCAGACGACACGCATATCTCGCTCGCTACACGTAAGTAAAAAACGGATACGGATAGCTAAACGTAAGTGTAAGCGTATCCGTTCGCTTGCGAAACTTCCCTACTATCTCGCCGCGGCGAGTTACTATGTCGCCGCGGCAAATTACTATTTTGTATCGGTGAGCGTCGGGCACAACAATGGCAATCCCTCCGGGTCCTATGGAACGCCAAAGAGGCATCGGCGTAGCCAGGGTTTTCATCCTTGGGGACTTTGAGTGGGGGGGGGGGGGGGGGCTTGAGGTTACAATGGAGGGGCGCCCCAAAATTTCATCCGAGCTGAAAGGCCGTGAGACAGGGTTCCTTCACCGGATATCCGCCCAATACCCGCCCTAGTCTAGTGTCCCACATACCACTCGGCCG